CTGCTCCCAAGGGTGAGCTGGCTTTTTCCTCCCACTGCAAGGAAAACACTCTTCTTTTACATCCCTTTTTAAACCTATTTTATTTTTTCCATTGACACGGGTGTCTAGACTGCACAAAGGGCAGAGGGAAGGTGGGACAGCCCTTCTTCCCGGGCTGTTTCCAGCCCCAGTGGGATTGCAGGGCTGGCTGCTGCACAAAGAGCCCCATTCATGAGCTTGTTTTGTCTCCCAGGCTGACCTTTCAGGCCTAAAGATCTCCCAGACATTGACAATGCAAACCCAAATTGGTTTCAGGGGAGTCTCCTCTGGTTTTCCTCCTCCTGGGGTGGAGGTTTGAGGTCCTCACACCCCCTTCTGTCTCTCTCATCCAGAACATGGGGATGGAAAGTGTTCTTCCCTTTGAGCAGGACAGAATCTCCCTTGAGGACACCTAGACAACCTTTTTTGACCATAAACTCCAGTTTTAGTGATGAAAAGACTCTCGTTGTTAACCCAAAATAGATTTGATCTGTGATTTTTCAGCACATGCACCCAAATAATCAAATGTTCATCTCAGCCCTTTCTGACTGAAGTGTTTTGGATTTTCCCCTTAAAACAGCAACTTTTTCCCTCTCTCCACTTCTCTTCAAAAATGTTTTGCTTCCCCCTAAATGCTGGGGAACTGTGGAAATAGCAGAAATATTGTTTTGCCTTGGTTTAAGTGAAAGATGCCATTTAAATCTCCTTTTCCCTGAACTGTTCCTTTTCGTTTTGCTGCTACACAGCAGAGCTGTGGGTGGGGTAAAACCAAGGCTGAAATGAAACCTCTCCTTGTCTCACTCCAGCAAAGTGAGAAATACTTCCCCCAGTGTCCTGAGACTGAAACCAACATTTGCTGTGAATAAAAACCAAAAATAAAGTATGGAGACAAAGGGGGAAAATGGATCCAGATGAAGTACCAAGTGAAGAACACAGTTTTTTGAGCCACTTTTAATTCGTGCCACATTAAAAAAATCATTATTTGCAGCACAGGGCAGCAGCACCCCTGGTATATTTAAGCCAGGGCAGTTTTCCCTCACCAAAAGGCTTTGTGATGTCTCAGCACCTCCCCAAATTCCCAGTTTTTACCACATTCCCTCAGATTTTGGTGTTTATGGGGTATTTTTAATGATTAAGGGGTGAAATTCAGCCCTGGTTTTCTTTGAGCTGGTACCAGGAACTGCTGTGAGGAGTTTTCTTCTCCCTCCCTCCTCTTCCCCACCCTGGGAGTGTCACAATTCGATTCCCTCCTGAGATCCTGCATGGCCAGGAAAACCCCAAACACCCAGAACCCATCACCCCACAATGGCACAGCCCTGGGTTGAGATGTGTTTATGGAAAACATTTTATTGCTTTCTAAAAACCAGTTTTGATAAACTCCAAGGAGATAGAGGAGGAAGTAGACCAGCAGAACTATTGAATATAATGAATTCTCTGGAATTTTCTCTGCAGGAAGAGAGATAGAGAGCCAGCTCTGTGAGGACGAGTTGAGGAGACCCCATTTTTGCCAGAGCTCCTCTGGCTGCACCACTTTTATCTTTAAATTCCAGCACAACTTCAGGTGAAATCAATGACCAGTGGATTGGTTTCAGCTGGAGTTTGATCAGCACCTTGCACCTGAGTCAGGTAAGAATAAGATCAGCAGTTTTTGGAGCTGGAACGAGCCACAACTGCAGAGTTTGCCAAAAAAATCCCAAAAAAACTCCTCAGGAGGGTTTGAGACTCCTTCCCAACTGCTCCTGGCCAGCAGCCACCACTCCACACTGCCTTGTCCTTCCTAAAATGTCCAGGTCCTCCCATTGCTCCAGTCCAGGAGCCATCCCACCATGGCCCAGTAAGGTCCTGGGTGAGCACATCTCCAGCTCCTTGCCTGTGTTTCAGGAGAAATTTCAGAGTTTGCAGAGAACTTGTGCCCCTGGAGAAGACAAATGAGTGCCTGGAACGGCTGGAATTCCTTCCTCTGGTCCTATGGAATTTGCACTCTGGAGGAAACGTGCCATGAGCTGGGAAGGGTTGGGGTGGAAGGCAAGAGAGCAGCTCCTGGCATCCTCAAGCACACAGAGATTGGGCTCCTGAAATTCCTGCCATGGGAAGGGAGGGTCTTCCCTAAAGCTCCAGCACCTTGAAGGATGTAATATTGGGGTCATCCAAATGGGAATTCCACCCTGACACCGAGTGTGAAGTGCAGGAGTGACACCTCACACCTCGGGTCTGGCATTTCTTTGGAGTGTTGGGCTCTCCCAGCAGAGGAATCACCTCCCGGGGGGGGTCAGACTTGGGGGATTCTGAGGAAAACACAGCAGGAGACACCCCCAGCTCCCAGCCAGGCTTTGCCAAGCCCGTTGGATCCAACAGCAAAGCACCTGGACACCTCTCCCCTCCTCCTTTCCCACGTGGTGTGGCACCTGGGGACACGGGGACACACCTTGGCACACCTTGCTGGGGCCACGGCTGGGCTCAAGGGTTGGGAAGGTCTTTCCCCACCTAAAGCTTTCTGTGTAATTCAAGTTTCATGTAATATTTCTCCCCCGCCACGCAATTCTGCACCGCTTCTCCTCCAAATTTGGGGAACTTGGAATTCCCCAAATCCAAGGAATTCCCTCCCAGTGGCAGGGATGGAGCTCTGTGACTGCCACCAAAGGCTTTGGTGGTGACTGATCTCCGGGGAGAGCTGGCAGTGTCCCTAAGGGAAAATTTTCCTGTGGTTTGCAGGGATGTGTGAGCAGTGTCCATAGAAAGACAAATGAGTCACCCCTGCAGCTGGGCAGCCTCTCCCATTCCCCAATTTGGCCCAAATGGCTTTTTCCACATTCTCCACGTTTGTTTTTTTTCCAGCAGACGATGTCACAGTGGGACTCAGAACCGGGTGTGATGCTCGGAATCAGGATCCAGCTCGCCCAGGGCAGCTCTGCCCACCCCGTTGTGCACGGCCTGGCCACGAGCCTGGAGCTCTTCCCAGCCTTTCGTGGGACAAGTGGCACTGGTGGGCACCACCAGGTGTTTCTTCTGCACCTGCTCCAGGATCTGCAGCACCTGGAACGAGTAAACAGGACTGGGAGTAGGTCAGGAATTAGGGGAGAGCACTCATTTCTTCTCCAGCTGTGGAAAGAATCAAATAATCATATTTGATGATCGTTTTATCATAAAATAACCAAAAGAAAAATTGGGAGGTTTTGTTAAAGGTTGGAAGTGACCTTTAAATGTCCCCCATGGGCAGGGACACCTTCCACAAGATCTCCTCTTTCAAGTGTCTGGCTTGGGATTTTTGGGATGGCATAAATCATTTCTGTGCTCAGAGGTCTCTGGGATGGGTGAACTTGGAGATCCACGGAGGTCCATGACCTTGGATCTCAGAGCCCTTTCCATGGATGAATCAGCCCCATTTTTGGGGGGAATTGCCCATTCCCCAGCCCCACAGAGGTGCTCTGGAGCAGGATGAGGACAGGAGCTCTGCTCGTGTCCCTCACACCAGGCTGGGATAACTCCCCAGGCATTCACAGCCTCCTTTGTCTCCTCACTGAATTATGAAGGCCCAGGCTGAAATTCATTCAGTGGAGGGAGGGAATGGAAATGAAATCCACGGAATTTCACGGATTTCCATGCCACGGGAAGTGGAATTTCACCTGAGACTTGGGGATGATGCCGACGCGGAAGAATCCGATGTTGCCGCTGTCGATCTTGGTGCAGTCCACCACGGTGGAGGCAACGTTCTCTGGAGAAGGCCCTCCACAAAGAACTGCATCCACCTGCAAACAGCAGATTTCCACACCCAATTCCCCTCGGAATTGGGAGAGTTTTCCCTCTCAGCAGCAGATAATTCTCACCCAAGGCAATGCTGCTCCTTCCTGCCCCACTGCAGGGACACCAGGGCTGCATTTGGGGTGAATGAGCCCCAAAGAAAGGACAGGGAGAGCTCAGTGGGGTGCAGGTTTGCAGCAGATGAGGAGCTCTGGGGAAGTCCCATCCACAAAGAAAATGTGAAGATTTGATTTTGGAGGAGTCAGAGGTGGAAGATTTGTGCCACCCCTTGTTTAAAGCTGTGCCTTTTTGTGACACAAAATGTGAAACCCTCGGAATTCAGCAGTGAAATCTTCGAATCATGGAATTATCCTGAGCTGGAAGGATCCACAGGCACCATCAATCCAACTCCTGGCTCTGCACAGGACATCCCAACAATTCCACCCTTCCAAACTCTCCTGGAGCTCTGCTTCAGGGCTGTGCCCATTCCCTGGGGAGCCTGGGCAGTGCCCAGCACCCTCTGGATGAGGGAAGAACCTTTCCTGATCAGAACCAATGAAAGGCCATGACCATGGCACTGCCATGAAAGCTCTAAAAGCCAGCAATGTTTTGGAGCTCAGCACCAGTTTTAGGCCAGGCTTAAATGGGAATCCCTGAGTTCTGGAGCCCTGGCACATCCAGGCACCAGGATTTGATTGCTTGTAAGCAAGAAGGAATTTTTGGTTGCTCCCATCATCCCGTGTTGGAATATGAACCAACTCTCACTGCCAAGCCCTAAGAGCAAGCATTGCCTAAGAGCAAGATCTGTGTTTGAAAATCTTTGAGGGGCAGCATGAGGAGCATCCACAAGATTTTTTTTTAATTAGAGGCTTTCCCAAATTCCTGATCCCATCTATTGGTTTGCCTTCTGGAAGCAGAGGGGTTGCACCTTGCCATGCCCACACCCCTTGGTTACCTTGTCTCCCAGCTTGGCGTACACCTGGTTGTGGTGGGTGGTGTCAGCCTCACCTGTTGGGTTGGCTGATGTGACCACAATGGGGCCAACCTGGAGACACAGAAACGGGAATCACTGCTCTGAGCAGCCCTTTTGGGATCAAACAGGTGACCCGAGCTCTGAACTTCACCTGTGACCCTGAAGAGAGCTCGGTGTGGCTTACCCAGGTGAGGAACCTTCTTCACAACTACAGTCCCACCAAACTGGGTTTGGGCTACCAGCTCTGACAAATTTGGGTTTGGTGATGATGGCCATGAAATGAAATCTTGCTTTCCAGCATCAGCCCTTGCCTAGACCTACAACACTCAGGGTATCACCTGTGGTGGTCACCTGAAGGTTCCTGTGGCCACTTTCTGCACCTTCTGAAGTCATTCTGGCCTCACAGAAGTCTGTGCTTTCCAATGCTGGAAATGAAAATGTGTCTGTTGAGGGCATTCTCCTGATTTCCTGACGTGGTGGTTGTTGGAGTCAGTGAGTCAGGGGTCTCTCAGAATTCTTCAGAGAGAAATCAGAGTGCAGGGATTGAATTAAAGCCTTTGGATGGATTGAAGTGTGTTAAGCCACTCACACATAAGGCAGAGGTGAAAGTTTAGGTTTTAGCATGAGTAAGCAAGTAATTAGAATGGGTTTTTAATGCTTTTAGTGACTAAAAGTTCTTAGATACCAGTGTAGAAGTTCGAGTTCTAGTGAAGGTTGAAAAACACAGTCCTAGGTACTGGTGTTTCCTGGAGGCTCCAGGAACACAGTTTCAGACATAATAAAGTTATAGTTAAGAATATTGCTTGCATTTTTCAGATAGAACAAGACAGACCATGTATGTAGTTTATACATAACCTGGAGTGCTAAAAAACTAGAATTCTAATGGGTTAAGAAGTGGTGATCTGAGTTTGTGTCTTAGCTAGTTGGGAAGTTTCTATATAAAAACATGCATTGGGGAGAGCTGGTGCCTTTTGCCATTTGCTTTTTGCCATTGCTTTGCTTTGGTTTTGCCTCGGAGACTGATGTGCTTCTGTAATAAATAACTTTACAGCAACTGTGAGCTGCTTGGCTTTTTGAAGAAAACAACAACCCCACAAATTGGGTGCCCAGGAGCACCCAGAGGTTTAACCTCACACGTGGCTGCTCCTTTCCCCCTCTTTGGTGCCATCAATCCCCTCCCAGGTGCCTGCAGGCCCCAGCCCCTCTCGGGGAGGGCTCAGGTGAGCTCAGGTGAGGTGCCCTGACTCACCAGGTCGATGAGGTGCGTGGTGACAGAGCAGTCGGGGATGCGGATGGCCACGCTCTGGGGGGTCCCGACGTACTTGGCAGAGTCCTTCATTCCCAGGAAATCCACCCACTCACCTGCACGGAGCAGAGCCACAGCCAGAGCACTCAGAGCTTCAGAGCAGCCCAAACACCACGGCTGGGACGGGAACATCCCCAGGGAACATCCCCAGGGAACATCCCCAGGGAACATCCCCAGGGAACGCGCGGAGCCGCGCGGGGCCGAGGGTTTGGGAATTCCAAACCTCTCCAGAGCGCTCGGGATGAACAGCATCTCCTCACCTCTGGGAATGACCAAGCTAATGGGGGATGGCCAGGCAGCCTCCATGAAGTCCCAGAGGAGGGGAGTGAACAAATGCTTGGCGGGTTCCAGCTGCTTTAGGCTGGAAATCCACAGGGACATGGGGCGATCCTGAGCCTGGCGCTTGGACCTGGGAAAGAGGGAGGAAAAGGAGGCTGGAAATTTAATTGCAAGGAAAAGAAACTGTTGGAGAGGTCTAGAGCTAAGGGAAGGTGTGCAGGCTCTGCCCAAGGTCACCAGTCTGGAGTAAAAGTAGGACTGGGAAGGGACATTCATGGCTGCTCCCAATCAGGAATGTCCATTCCCAAAGCAAGGCTTTAATTTCTTGTGATGGGCAAAGGTCCCAATTTCCCCTTGGAAACCCCACCAATACGAGGGGCTCCTCACAACTCTCCATATAACTCCTCAACAAAACAGCTCCCCATAAATCTAGCAGCAAAACTCACCAAAAAATTACGTTTCAAGTGTAAAAAATTTAAACATATCAAAAATATTACCTAAAGTCTACAGAAAATATGAAAACACCAAATCGTTACCCAAGATACAAAAAAAAAAGACACTTTACAAATCAGTGTGGTTCCAAAATAAATGGAATTAAAAAACCTCTGCCCCTACCAAGAAACTAAAAAAAAAAATAAAAATGAAAACAACACACTACAACACAAATAATAACAGTAACTCATCAACCCAAAACCCCTCAAAACACACAATAGACTAAATACCCCAAACTCCTTACACTCTCCTGAGGAGTTATATGGAGAGTTCACAGTCTGTTGTCACCAGAGGGGTTTTGTCGTGACAACAAAAAAGAACAACAAGTTTTTACAACCTCCAGGTAAGAACAACAACCCCCTGCCCTATTTTCTGCCGGTTTCTGTTTCTGGTGGTGTCCAAATTACCCAGCTCCATCAACCTTCAGTGTGCCAGGACACAACTCCAGCTCAGTTCCCTCCTTCCCTCACCTGGATCTTCCCCCCAGCGAGGCTGAGCTGCTCTGGCTCTGGTTCTGGAAGGTTCCTGAGGCCAGCCCAGGTGCCAGGACTCACCTGTGAGCTTTCTCCACGGCGTCAGGCCGGCTGCAGGCAGCCACCAGCACGTACACGGTGTCGGTGGGGATGCCACAGGTGCCACCATTCCTCAGGATATCTGTTGGCACAGGGAGGTGACAGGGCTGTCATTCCCATGGCAGAGCTGCCACACGATGTGTGCT